ATCTACATCGAGAACTTTGGACGAAAGTTCTTGATCTTTCTCCTTATTCAACCGTCCGACCATCTCCTTGACTTCTCACACATCATCATTTAATTTTTTTATGAGAAGATATATTTGTTTATGTTGCTTGAATTGGCGCTTGTCAGTTTCATGACAATGCTGTTCTAAATTGACAAGAAATAAGTTTAAGCTTATTATACATAACGATAATTAACGATTTAATACCTTCTCGAGTTTGATGTGTTGTAATTTGAAGATCATCTACCAAAAAGGGATTGCTAATCCTTGATGGTAAATGCCTTGGTGGTAATGGTGAACGTCTTGGTGATGATGGTGAACGTCTTGATAGTGAGTAGTGCCTTGATGGTGAGTAGTGCCTTGATGGTGAATGCCTTGATGGTGAACGCCTTGTTGGTGAACACCTTGTTGGTGACAACGATTCTTCTCTGATCCTTGCTTTTCCTTTATTTTTTTTGACTCATTTCAAATCGCTGCTGTATAGTTCTTAGGTTGGAGTGCTGATCATCAGATGAATAATCTTCGTAAGTTCGAGATTTTTTTGAAGGTGTAGATGTATGCAGAGTTGGAGAAGGGTGTGATTGGCTAGCAGGTGTATGCAGAATTGAAGAAGGGTAAGATTGGCTAGCAGGTATATGCAGAGTTGGAGGAAGGCAGGATTGGTTAGCAGGTGTAGGTGTATGCGGAGTTGAGAAAGGGAGGGATTGTTTATTAAGGAGAGTTTTATTATCGTCAAAATCCATTAACAAATACTAGTAACCTACCTGTGATATTTATACCTACCAAGGCAATCGCATTGGTTCAATTTTTCCTGTAATCGATCAAACATACAAAAAATACTTACCTAATAATATCGTCATATCATGTTATAAATCATTCAATTTTTCCTATAATCGATCAAATGCGCCTAATAATATCGTCATATCATGTTAAAAATCATTCATATCAGTTCAATTTTTCCTGTAATCGATCAAACACGCTAGAAATCAAAAGATA